TTCCTTGGCACATTGTTTTCCAGAGAGGCAAGCCGCAGCCTGCTGACCATCCGGTGGGAGTGGGTCCAGAGCCAGGAACAGAGGCCCAGTGTCCACGTGTGTGTACGCATGCATTTACACACAGATGTGTTTATTACACACATGGCTGTTACACACGTGTGCGCGTGTGTGTGTGTGTGTGTGTGTGTGTGTTTTCTATGCTGCTGACTCAGGCAATGCCAGTAAATGTATGAGAATGTAGGCTTGACAGAACCTTACCATTCTATGTTGTTCAAGTCTTTAAAAGGAAACAAGGTTATACACAAAGGCCTCCTGGCATTCCTGTATTCAGGTTCCAGCAAGCAGCAGCGTGAACAAAGCTGGTGTTGTTTTAGAGGGTAACCACCACGAGGCCTCTGACAGAGGGCCCCTGTGGGTGGGGAAGGCAGGGACGAGAACACCGCTCACATGAATAACCGTTACTGCTAGTGTCTCAGTGCTCCGTGATCCCGGCCAGTTCAGGGCAGGGCTCAGGGGCTTTCTTCTGTCACCATGTGGGTGAGTAATATAGAGGGGGACGGGGGCTGTAAACCAGGATTAACCAAGCACTTCCATTTTTTAAAATACATATTTTATTGATTTTTTACAGAGAGAAAGGGAGAGGGATAGAGAGTTAGAAGCATCGATGAGAGAGAAACATCGATCAGCTGCCTCCTGCACACCCCCCACTGGAGATATGCCCACAACCAAGGTACATGCTCTTGACTGGAATCGAACCCGGGACCTCTCAGTCTGCAGGCTGACGCTCTATCTACTGAGCCAAACCGGTTAGGGCAGGCATTTTCATTTTTTAAGTCCACAGTAGAGTCCTCTCCGTGTGGTTCCACCTGCCAGGGTGGCCAGTGACGGGCGATGGCTATCATCTTGATAGCTCTTTGAAGACCATTCCCAGGGCTTGCTTCTACAATGTGAAAGGGACAGGCCTCGCTTCAGCAGAAGCCTACTGTGTGCCAGGCATGGGCATGAAAGCCCTACTGTGTGCCAGGCCTTGTCCACGTCAACTCTGACCTCAGGAGACAAGACAGACACCCTCAGGGTTCAAACAGGGACCTACCCAACTCCTGTGCAGGAAGGAACTCGATGGGTGCAGGGAATTCCTAAGGACGAGCATCAGGCTCATTTCGTTCCAAGTACATTTCCTATTTCCTCGGTTTCCAGAATAACATCCATGTATCTTTAGTGTTGCCTCTGTATGTGGGCGGAATGAGTTGCCCCGTGCTGTAAAACAAATACTGGGCCTGGGCACAAGGCACGGCTCTCTCGCCGGTGGCATGTGCCTCTGATGTCAGCCGAAATGAACTTCGTCCAGCAAAACGGTGTGTAAATATTGGTTCGGGTTTGGCAACAAGAGTGAGCAAATCGGTGTTTCTGCCTTAGCCCGCGTTTATCCAAGCAAACCCACCCGTTTGGTATTTAAACACTGAAGCACTAATTGTTCCAGTCTCAAGCGTACCCCCATCTGTCCCTGCGTGTGAGTCATCTGCAGAGCTGTTTGCTGTTACCTCTCCGCACCCCCCTCCTCCCCCCGCCGTGGTGACCTCGCCTGAAAACCTGGCCCGGCTATTTTTCTTCTCGTCCACAGTGTCCGTGCTCCTGAAAGCAGAAACGTTGAGACAGGAGCCACTGTGGGGGGAGAGGAGCGGGCTGTGGGCCACGCTGCTGGGCCTGCCACGTTCCCTCCAGCAGGAAGTGTTTCGGCCTTGTCTGCGAGCCAATGTCCCGGCTGACTTTCGGCAGGGCCCAGCCAGGTTAGGTGGGAATCCTGATGTCTTTATTTTATTTTATTTTTTAATATATTTTATTGATTTTTTTTAGAGAGAGGGAGAGAGGGATAGAAAGTTAGAAACACTGATGAGAAACTGCCTCCTGCACACCGCCCACTGGGGATGTGCCCACAACCAAGGTCCATGCCCTTGACCGGAATCGAATCTGGGACCCTTCGGTCCGAAGGCCAACGCTCTATCCCCTGAGCCAAACTGGTTTCGGCTGGGTGTCTTTCTTTTTAACTTGCCATCATTCCCCTGCCTTGTGGGGAAGAAAAGGTGAGCAGGATCATTTGTTCTTGGGCTGAGCTCAGAGGTTAGCCACCAGATATCCCTCAGGCTCCCTGGTCGTTTGTTTTTTTAAATGGGCAAGAATGCCAACTGTCCCTGAGCCCTGCTGTAACAGCCGGGAAGTTTGGCCTGCTGAGTGTTTGCCACACTGTTTGCCACAGAAGTTTCCTGGGGGAGATGGGCGGGCGGTGGAGTCTGGAGCTGTGTGGGGTGGAAGGTGTATGCGTTAGGGTCGAGCACAGGTCATGGCCTTTCGGACCAAAAGACCGGACAGCAGGTGCCCCCAGGGAGGGAGACACCCCGGGGTGCTGGTTTCGGTGCTGGTTTCGGTGCCTCCCACTGGTGGTGTGCACAGACAGAGGGGGCGCTGGCGGTGCTGCTGCAGCCCAGGTCTCTGCAGGGCGGGCCGGGTGGGCAGGGTTGTTTGCTTTCACGCGGGCAGCATATCCAGCGGTTCGTCTTCAGGCTGGGCACGAGCTCAGGGGCAGATCAGAGGCAGGTCTGCCCCAGGGCTGTCCGGGAATCTGCTCCCCGGATCACCGTCTCAGCGGATTCCTCCCGACCAACCTGCCTTGGCAGGCTGCTCCGTCCAGGAGCCTGCTCGCCTTTGCCACCTTACAAAAGACAAGCATGCCCTCTCCCACACCTTCCGTCCCACTACAGCCCATGATCCCAGTGTGCACCCCACCTTCCAGCTGAGCACGGGGGTCCAGGGAGACTGACCTGCCAGGCGCACACACAGGCATGTACGCAGAGAAGGGACAGAAGCCCGCTTGGGAATGTTAACAAACTGAGTGAGGGAAGCAGCCGGATGGCATGGAAACATGCAATTTAGTTTTGTAACATGATTTTCTTTTTTTCTTTCATCAGAAGCAACTGTGGCCAATCTGAGTGTCTGTTACGTTGCTTTTTTCCTTTTTCAAAAATATATTTTATTGATTTTTTACAGAGAGGAAGGGAGAGGGATAGAGAGCTATAAACATCGATGAGAGAGAATCATCGATCAGCTGCCTCCTGCACACTCCCTACCGGGGATGTGCCCGCAACCAAGGTACATGCCCTTGACCGGAATCGAACCCGGGACCTCTCATTCTGCAGGCTGCTGCTCTATCCACTGAACCAAACCAGTTCTGGCGCTTTTTCCTTTTTTAATGCTTATATCAAAACAACACATTTAAAGGACAGAGGACACCGTAACCTTGGAAACAGCCTACGGAGTGCCTGGGCCGCAGGCTGACCAGCGCTGTAGGTCCTGGGCACGCCTGTCTGTCTGTCTGTCTGTCAGGGGCTGCAGCCGGCACCTCTGCCTGCACTGGTGTGTGCACTGTATATGCTGGCCCTCATTACCACGATTATCCTCAGATAACATTCTTATTTTTTTTGTACGTATGAAAATTTACATGCATATACTAGGTAGCCTTTCGCTTTTTTTAACTCCACATTTCATCTGAGACATCCATACGATGTAATCTCACTCACCTGACAGCTGTGTAATATTCCCTTCCACGAACGTATCTCAGATCATTTCCCACCCCACCGCGCCAGTGATGGTGGGAGGGGGCAGTGCCTACACCTCAAAGGGGCAGTGGCCCCGGCCAGAGGGCGCTGAGACAGCTAGCACACAGTGGGTCTCTGGAGCCGTGCTTCCGCTCCAGGCGGGCATCTGGAAGGGAGGTCGGAATCTTGCCTAGATGAGATTTGGGCAGTATGGTTTTTATTATAGGCCTTCTGCTGAGAATCTCGTGTTATTCCCTGTCTCGCTGCTGGCGTCTGACTCAGAATCCACTACGTGTCCTTCACTGGTGGCCGTTGTGTTGTGGGGAGCACAGGGAAGCCCTCGTATCTGGCATAGTTTAGGGGAGGGTATCTGATAAATAGGGTCCCTAATGCTTACTAGGTATTCTACAAGTATAACATTGACTCTGGGAGTTTAAAGTTGGGAGGGTACTTAGACATCATCTCGCACAGCTTCCCCGTTTTGAGCAGGATGGAATGGGGCTGGCAGAGCTGAGTGCCTGTACACGACAAAACAGCAATTTCCTGACAGCGCCAGGAGTAGGAAGCAGGGCCCCTGCTCCCTGCATCCCGGAGGACAATATACTTCACCGAATTCTGTGCAATATTAAGTTTTCAGTGGCTGGTTTGCAGGGCTCCTCAGAGGGCCTTATAAATGTAAAACCCATACCTCTATCACCGGAATGTAGTATAGGTGGCATCTAGTCAGGACACCAGCTCCACAGCTTTATGTTCATTAAAAGGTCAGCTCCGGGGGTTAACTGCTTGTGCTAGTATCTTCGAGGTGCTTACACTCCTCAGCTCTGCAAACAGAGATCTCATTGGGATCCTCGGTGTCCTCCGTTTTCAAAGGGAAAACCCCTCACTGGAGGTTCTCGAAGCAGTGCTAGTCCGCCGTCTCGCTTTTAAGTCCCCACGCTGTGCTCCCATCGGGAGGACTTGTTGGCCAAGGCGCTGGGTCCCGCCCATTGAGGCGCTCAGGAGAGCTGCCGTTCCTCAGTCCCCGCTGCAGATCGCAGGATGCCTGCTCATCGGAAGGCGCTGGCGCCAGGTGCTCTCGCCACGTGCTCCGGGGTGGCCCGTGTCCAACGCTAAGAGGGCAAATAGGTCCCGGCTGGACCTTTGCCATGGTGACATTCCAGGATTTCCTTTAATATCAGGGTCTGATCGCTCCATAGAATACTTTCAAACTTAGGCACCATCCCCCACGGCCAACGGAAACAGAAGCCTTCCTGGAAACGGTCTGACAGAACCACGTACGTTTGGGCATGTACCCGGACGTAAGTCTTCTGGAAAACACGTCAGGGAAGGAACCATCCAACGCCGGCAACACGATCCCATGTAAAACGTGAGGGCCCCGATCTGGCTTTGACAACACAATTTGTGTTGCAGTGTGCGAGCTGAAGTCCCCCTCCATGAGCGACTTTCTGTGGGGCCTGGAGAACTCCGGCTGGCTGAGGCACATCAAGGCCATCATGGACGCTGGCACGTTCATTGCCAAGGTACGTGATGGCAGAGGAAGGAAGCCAAGGGCACCTTCTGCCTGGCCGTGCCGCCGGAGTGGGGAGCCGCCGTGCCCCCCTCCCAGCTCGCCGGTTTTGCGAGTGAGGTCCGTGCTCAGCTAGCGGACGGTAGGTCAGCACAGCAGCCAGGTGGTAGATTATTACAGAACGTTCTCTGCAGGTAGGCCTGGCCCCAGACGGAGGAGAGAATTCTCTGTGCAGGCGGTGCATCCATTTCAGGGGCGGAGGCCCTTTATGCGGTATATTTATTGGGCAGACGTTAGCTTTGTGTCCTCCACTGCGCCTTTCTGGTGCTGAGGAGGCAATGCGGGATAAGCCGGTCTCCTCATGGAGCCGACATTCTGGGATGGGAGACCAAAAAGGAGAGTTTCAGGCGGTGCCCAGTGCTGGGACAAAACCTCCCTCTCCCAGGCTGCTTCCTGTGTCAGGATACTCAGCTAAAATCCTGCAGCGTCTTTGCGATAGCAAGTAGAAATTCTTTTCGTAGCAAACTTGCTGCTGTCATTTTTATGCTTTCTCTCCCTTACCCCAACCCTGGACCCATTACTTGGCTCTTATCCTTTTGTCTCTGATTTCATAGTTTTTACCGTTCATTACTTTTGAAAAAGGCCAAGGCCAATGGGAGACCCCTGATTTCAATGAGAAGGGCTATAGGCGAAACCCAGAGAGGAGGGGAGGTGTCAAAACATGGGCTAGCAGGTGTCTCAGGTGTCTGTACAGCACGTGGCATGGATTGTGCAGTGCACATGCTCAGAGGCGGCCTCATGGTCACTTCCAGATCTGGTGCCATGGGGAGGGCGGGCGCTGGCTACCAGCATCAATCAGATGAGGGAGTGAACACTAAATGAAGCCATTGGCTCTTTTGCCCGTTTCTGCAAGTGTGAAACTGAACCGCATCCTGATGAGACGTTCACGGCCATTCTTTTTATTTATTATTATTTTTAAATTTCTTTATTAAGGTATCGCATATTTGTCCTCATCCCCCCCCATTCCCGTCCCCCACCGCTCCCCACGCATGCCCCTACCCACCCTGTTGTCTTTGACCACTGGTTAGGCTCATATGTATGCACACAAGTCCTTTGGTTCATCTTTCTGCCTTACCTCCACCCTCCCTCTGAGGTCAGACAGTCCGATCCATGCCTCCTTGTCTCTGGGTCTGTTCTTGTTCATCCGTCTGTGGTGTTCACCATTTCCCCTAGCTGAGTGAGCTCATGTGCTACTAGAAATACACTTACAAGAACCGAAAACGAGACCGGCCCTAATGGTTATGCGGAGAGGCCAGTGGCCATTCTCTGTGGGCTCGCTGACCCTGTTTTGCAGGCGGTGGCGGAGGAGGGGGCCAGCGTGCTGGTGCACTGCTCCGACGGCTGGGACCGGACCGCACAGGTGTGCTCCGTGGCCAGCCTCCTGCTGGACCCGCACTACCGGACCCTCAAGGGCTTCATGGTGAGTGGCCCCTCCCCACGCAGGGTCCTGACTGTAACTAAGAGCAATGTTTTCTTTCCTCATCAACATCATTTTCTTCTTAGATCAGCAAGATGAATTAAAGGGGAAAATGTCCAAGATGTTGGAACAAAAAAAACCCCACAATGCTGTTAAATGTGAATTTCAGGGCCAATATGAAAGATATTCGTTTTTAAAATAGTTTACACAGCATTTGCTCATAGGAGTTTCAAGTTTGAAATAGAGCGAATATAACAAAAACTTTTCGAACTTTTAAAAAATTGGAGATAAAACTTTCTATATAGAGCAGGCGAGAAAGTCCTTGAGAGGAAAAACTGGGTCGTTTCTCCCCCCCCACCCCCCCCCCCAAAAAAACACACACTTACTGCTATTGTGTAAGTAGTCCTTTCCACCACAGGGTGACAGTGTGAACATCTGTACTGACGTGGCCTCTGCTGAGGCTATGAGCACGTCCTCCTAGGTTTTGCGCCCTCTGGGTGTCAGAATGTGGCACTTTGCAGAATGTCCATAGTCTGGAGTGGAGTTGCTTTGACCACACTGGAACCATTTTCTTAAATGACTGCAGAGACTTTGGCGACTGGGAGACACCTGCCTCCTGTCTCCTGCCTCCTGTCCATGGTTTGGTGGGAAGTATCTCAGTGGGTCCTGAATCCATGCTGGGCACAGTGAGCCACATGGGGTATCTTTACAGAAAGATCTTTAATCAAGGATATCAGTTGACACTCGGGGACAAGAGGCAGGTTTCCTTTCTTGGGCTTTTTCAAAGTGTCTTTCTCCCATCTCAGCCCCTCCCTGCACGGAAGTCAGAGGGCTGGATCCCTCCTTTAGATTTGGACAGTGGAGGGATCCTGAAACACACACAACCAGCCACCAGAGGGCCTCTCTCTCACACCATCCTTATCACCACCGGCCCTTTCTGACTGTCCAGTTAGATCTGTGAGCTGTTAAGGACAAACTTCAACCACTCCTCATTTTTTTAAGGGGAAACCTCTAGCCAGCTTAGCGTATTGGTGATACAGATGGGATTATTCTGTGTCATTTATAATTTTTAAAAAACACCAAGAAAATCTGAAACTCCTATTACCTCCCCTCCCCCACTCTGAAGCAGGGCTGAAACTCCTCTGCCCCCGTCATTTTAGAATCCTTCTCATCCACAGCGATCTCTGGGTTTTACACTTCTTCCTAAGTGGAGTAAAGCTCACTGGAAAACATTCCAAGTGGTTTCTTGTAAGGAGGTTGGTTTGGGTTGAGCTGGGCATTGGTGTGGAGCTAGGTTAGGAGGTAGAAGCACCACTTCCTAGCAGTGTGATCGTTAAGTGAGGATCTACCTTCCATTCAGCTCCCCCTTCTGCGGAGAGAGGCCGATAATACCCACCCTACAATGAAATGAGGCCATGTAAGCAGCAGTAAGAACTGTGACTCATAGCGAGCATTCAGTGGGTGGTGATACTAACGTGTTCATATATCCATTCCCATTTTTCCCTAAGGATGACCTTCAACGTGGCCCTTCCGAAATGCACCTCTGTGCTGGTGGATAATGAGAGCTCGTTCATTTGCAGGTCACCCAAGGATAGTGACTTCTACTCCAAGGCCCTCTGAGTCCTTGTGATGTCTTATTTTTCCTGGTCCATATTCATGTTCTTTCTCGTGTAGGTATTAATTGAAAAGGACTGGATCTCCTTTGGCCATAAGTTTAATCACAGGTAAAAATATTTAAAAATCTGTTTTAAATGCTTAGGATTAAAAAAAATGTTTTTCTCAATTAATGGGGGGGGGGGGGATAGCTTTATATTTTTAAGTGTCTTTGTGTATCTTCATCAAAATGTTAAAATTTCATTGAATATACACTGTATCACAGGTACATGAAGTTCTGAGTACTTCTGATGAGAATTAATGCTAAATATTCCATTTATGAAGTGCAGACATGAATGTTAAGCTGCAAGTTGTGAAACGCCTATGGAAGTTATCTTTGACCTTTCACTTATCTTTGACCTTTCACTAAGGGAGGCCATTTGGGTTGTCCTGAGGACTTGTGTCCTGGATGACGTCTCTGGGGAGGAAATGTGTGACAGTGGCCAAGGCTTTGCAGACAGATGCAGACGGTGGCACGTACCAGCTGTGGCCTTGGTGTCTGTCCCCTCTGCGCACTGGCATCCCCATCTGTGAAACAGGCTACCCCCCTTTCCCCATTCCACGGGTTCTAGCAAGGGTTTTTAAAAAGTATCCATAACTAGCCTGACTCCTCGCCTGGCCCATATCCTAGGCTTTCAGATACACAGAAGCTGCTGTTTTTGGAGACCACAGCCGCATTTTGGTAGTGTGGGTGATAATGCCCGACTTGTGTTCTCTAACCTCCAGAATGTTAAATGGTATAGCTGGTGCACTCTAGCCCTTTGGGTTAAAGTTTAATTTAGGCAGCATGCTAATAATTAATTAGGTACTTACTTTTCCAGGAAAGCAAAATTATTCCTTTTTACAAACGAATTAAAGGCTCCAAACAATTAAGTATCCTTAAGATCATTGTTACCATCAGTTTTGGGGTTCTGACTGTATGTGCTAAGCAGTTAAAATCTCTGATAGAGGACATATGGACAGAAAGAATGGGGAAATGCTGAAGACTAGGTGGGTTTATGAGAAAACAGTATATTAGGCAAACCTTTTTAAAGCTATTTTTTTTAGGTGAGTAGAACTGAAACTCTTGAGAAGTTTCCTGACAATTTCTAACGTAGCCATTCTCGAAAAAAACTAAATCAATCCTTACTCATTTCTATTCCTCAAGTTGATCAAGTTGAGATGAGGTTCTAAATTACTTTATATCTGATTGCAAATTACCCCTTTTGTATTCTTTCCGAAATTCATACAACAGTGTAAAAGACTACTCTTGATTTAGATTCTCATCTCTTGAAAGTAGTTTCAAGATTCTCTGACAAACAAAGATGTGAGAGATATAAAGGTATATTAGAATCTGTGGTCACATGGAAATAATTATATGCTGTTTTAGTACTGTTCTAGAAACAGAAATATCCCCTAGAAATTTGGGAAACTACAATTTTTTAAAGAAGTTGTCTTTACTTATTCCTTCCCTCCAAAATAATACACAAGTGAAAAACTCTAAAGTTGTTTAGATAATTCACTAATTAAAACAAAGTGAAGGTTTATTCAAAAGTTCTAATATGTACCCTTCCCCTCCCCCAATATATTTTTATTGATTTCAAAGAGGAAAGGAAAGATAAAAACATCAATGATAAGAGAGAATCACAGAGCAGCTGCCTCCTGAATGACCTTTACTGGGGATCGAATTCACAGCTCAGGCATGTGCCCTGACTGGGATCGAAAGTGGTTTGTAAGTTGAGGCTCAACCATTGAGCCACACCACCCAGGCTTTAGTGTACTTTTAAAATTTAATGTATTTTTAACATGAGTGTTTCCCTTCTTTACTAGGGTTGCTTTTATGGTTGTTTTTGTATTTATATTATAGCTTCTAATTAAAAAAGCAAACAAAATAACTGGCTATAAAAATGTTCTAATACTTTATTTTATAGATATGGCAATCTAGACGGTGATCCAAAAGAAATCTCTCCAGTTATTGACCAGTTCATCGAGTGTGTGTGGCAGTTAATGGAACAATTTCCTTGTGCATTTGAGTTCAATGAGCGGTTTCTGATTCACATTCAGCATCACATATATTCCTGCCAGTTTGGAAACTTCCTATGTAACAGTCAAAAGGAGAGACGAGAACTCAAGTAAGTGTTTTGGTATTTAGTTCTGTGACTGAGAATTGCAGATGCCCTTTCGTAATGTGGAAGGCCGTTTTAGCCACACACCTAAACTGACAGATTCAAGCTCTTTCCTTATTCCTGACATAACCCTTCATAAATGAATCATCTGACACAGGTAGGTACATTTCCTGTGGCTTCTTCCTGATATCCACACAGGCTGGCATACAACACTGAAAGGAAGCTTCCTAGAGTCAGAGAAGGTGATTTTTGCATTTAAAAGGAAACAGACCTCCTTGGTAGATATAATCACATGAGGATTGTAAATATAACTGGGAAAGCAAACTTGAAACTCTAGGCTAAAACTGTATTGTCCTATCCAGAGGGGGGAAAAAATAGATGAAATGTAAACTTTAAACTAGTTGTAAAGTAGAAAATTTAAAAACAGCAAAGTGATTTATGAACTACAAGTGAGAGAAAATGTTTGAAATTCTCATAAAGTTAAAATGATTTTAACTGTGGTCTATATAATATCAGATTTAATTTTGGAAATGGTCTGTTCACATAAAATGGGCTGAACAGAAAGAAAATGACATTTTCTCGTGGATGTTAGCTAGCTTCTGCAGGGAATTTCAAGTGTGCTTACTGGTCGATGGTAATGATTTGGAAGCAGCGGACTACGCCCTTCAAGCTTGCTGTGTTCCTGGACAGTTCTGTGCTTTGCTGTGACAGACTAGCCATTTTAGAAGCATTTAAATAATACCTGGCAAAGAATAAGTCTGACTAGGGTAAAAAAAATTACCTGGCAGTTTTAACTCAGTACAGAGAGCAGAGGAGCCGAGATTAGTGCTCTGCTATGCCATGAAAACGAAGTGTACATTTCCCTGTACTGTGTAAAAATCCGTGCACTCAGGGGTGGGGATTCCTCAGCCCGGATTGTGCGAGGGCACAAGCTAGGCCAAGGGACCCCACCGGTGCACAATTGGGGCTGGGGAGGGACTGAGAGACAGGCATGTCCCGCCCATCTCGCCCAGTCCCGATTGGCCAGACCCCAGCAGCAAGCTCATCTACCTGTCGGAGTATCTGCCCCCTGGTACTCAGTGAATGTCATAGTGAGCGGCTGAGTGGCCTTAGCCTATCATTAGCATATTGCACTTTGATTGGTTGAATGGCCAACCAGACACTTAGCATATTAGGCTTTTATTATTACACTAAAAGCCCGATGCACGAAATTCATGCCAGAGTAGGCCTTCCTTCCCCAGGCTGCCAGCACTGGCTTCCCTTACAGCATGGGCTTCATCTGGAAGGACATCCAGTCTAATTAGCATATTATGCTTTTATTATTATGGCACAGTCTACTATTTATAAGCATCAAGATAGCCTGGCCAGGTGGCTCAGTTGGTTAGAGCATCGTCTCGATATGCCAGACTTGTGGGTTTGACACCCAGTCAGGGCACATACAAGCACCGAATGCATGAAGTAGTGGAACTGATGTCTCTCTCAAAGAACCACCAAAACAGGCCATTTTCAAGCTTATTTTCTTGACAACAGAATCCAGGAAAGAACATACTCGTTATGGGCTCACCTGTGGAAGAATCGGGCCGACTACATGAATCCTCTCTTCAGAGCTGATCACAGTCAGACCCAGGGAATCCTTCGTCTCCCCACAGCACCATGCAACTTCATGTACAAGTAGGTGAACCCCTGGGACCCGACTAGGAAGGGTTATGGCTCAGAGCTGGCACTGTTAATACTGCAGGCCAAAGGTATGAAACACTGGGCTTTAAGGCTTTTCTGGACACAAAATACAACAGAGGAGGATGTTTTCATATCTGACCTGGTTTTTTGCCAGTGTCTCCTCTCCCTCGACTTCCCCCTAAATAGGAAATTATCTTAGAAGTTCATGTTCTGTAATAATGATAACCTTAGAAATGTAAGTTCTAATTTAAAGTGAAAGGCGGGATTGGGGAGAAAGGAAAGATGGATGGAATAAGCCAAGTGTCTTGTAAGTTAAATGTAAACTCACAATAGTTTTACCTTTTTTCTCTGCTGAATTGACTGCTTTGGGATGAGAAGGGTGGCATCCTACAGTCTCCTAGTACATACGAGGCATGTATGTTAGTTTGTCCTTTGCCTCTTGGCTAGGCTTGTACGGTACTGGATGACTCAGGGGTCAGCACAAATACAGACAGAACACTCACAGCTTTTCTTCCTCTTTAGTTTTTATTCCTAATTATTTCAAGCTCATCAATTATCCCAGAATTTTATAGCAGAGTATTAACTCTATGATATAAATAAACAATTGCCTCCATGTTTTTTGTGTATCGATAAAACTGCAGTTTTGAGGGCTGCTGACACTGCAATCAATTAGTTTATTAACAGCCAGTCAGCAAATGAGGATCAAGCCCTGTTATAGGAACTGTGGATAAAACAATGAACGACCCTGTCTCTGCCCTCAAAGTGCTTTTCTAAGTAAAAAGTAGACCCACGATATCCTTGATTCTCACTGGCATTCCAGTTTGCACAGTTGTGTAGGATAAAAAGGGGGAACATTCATTGTAAATTTTTAGTGGTTATGGTAAGACAAGCTAAATCCTCAAATTTACAAGGTTCTACTTTTTCCAAGTTTACTTCAAAACAAAGAGCCATTTTCTTAAACCAAGAACTAGAAGAGAGAGAGAAAATTATAACATGTGGGACTTCAATCTATTTTATAAAATTATAGGCCTTCTAACTCTATGAATATCATATATAAAACTCATGAATTTATTCTGTGCCAAAACCGGTTTGGCTTAGTGGATAGAGCGTAGGCCTGCAGACTCAAGGCTCCCGGGTTTGATTCTGGTCAAGGGCATGTACCTGGGTTGCGGGCACATCCCCGGTAGGGGGTGTGCAGGACGCAGCTGATCGATGTTTCTCTCTTATCGCTGTTTCTAGCTTTCTATCCCTCTCCCTTCCTCTCTATAAAAAAATCAATAAAATATATTAAGAAAAAAAAATTCATGAATTTATTCTGTCCAAAAAAGTTCACTGATTCCCCCAAAAGGAAAATATCAACATGAAATGATTACCTTACGTGGCTTCTTGAGCCCAGAACTTGCACTTGGTGATTATTAGGGCTGTGGGACTGGGGGAAGGGAGATCCCGAGAGGCCTTGCGCCTGTGAATTCAGTTTGACAAGGTTGCCTCTTGGAGCTCTGCTGTCCCTTCCAGGTTCTGGAGTGGCATGTACAACCGTTTTGAGAAGGGGTTGCAGCCCCGCCAGTCGGTCACCGACTACCTCATGGCAGTGAAGGAGGAAACGCAGCAGCTGGAGGAAGAGCTGGAGGCCCTAGAGGAGGTGAGGCACACTCTCCTAACCATTGCTCCATGGAAGCCTATCACGACTCAGGATACGTGAAGCACAGCCACACATTTCGTACTTTTAGCCAGTGGGTAACCAGAAACACAACCCCCCCCCCCCCCCCCCCCCCCCCCCCCCCCCGTCGTGAGCACCCAGAAAAATGAGCCCAAACTTCAGCAGCACTGAATACACTCAGACACTCAGAAATCTGGTTTGAGGCTCACTTTCACAGAACTACTCTGCTGTTCCTGCAACAGGTCAGGATTTTTTGTTGCTGTTATTTGGGAGCACTGAAATGAATTATTTCTGGAGACTTAAGTACTAGTACTTAACGAGATAAAAAAATCCTGGTGCCAGGGCTCTGAGCCTAGAGATTCTGATGGAGACTGTTTAGAGTGCCCCCAGACTTGTCATAGAGCAGAGAGACCTTGAATTAAAGAACATATGTAGTTAATAAGGTACAAGTTAGGGGAGGTTTTTAGAATTTCAGAGTTGTGATAAAAGCTTTGCCATTCAAAGTCCACTCACGTCATCACTGGGTCAGTTTTATCTATTCTTCCCAAAGATATCTAAGCTTTATGAAAAGCTGATGATCCTACTGATCTATTCCAGTATTCTTTTTATTAAAATACTAATAAACATTAACTCTCTAACAGCACTGTAATTAAAACCTTTTTTCCTTATAACTTCCTTTGCCTTACACATGGGATTTTCCCACACTCCAGTCTAACTTTACACTTCCTTCTCCTCTACTCCCCTTGCTTTAATGTAACCATTCTCTTACACACAGCTCCTTCCACATAACTGACACCTTCCTTCGTGTTTTCTACTCACTGTTCCTCCTGCCAGAATGCTCTATCACGTCTACGTTGAATTCCTTCAGTCCTGTGCATGCTCCCTCCTCCCTGAAGCTTCCTCTAACAGTTAAGAATCTAACCACAGCACCCTGCCCTATGAAATAATTTCCTCATCTTCTAAATTCCCACGTTACAGGAACTCTGCCTCTACACAGAATTCCCTATAGCTGGATCTGTACCGCCTGGAACAGTAGGTCCTTGGGTTACATCGCAGATCCGCTCCTATGGCAGGACATAGGCCATTTTCGCCTTAAATTGGAACCCACCTCCATTAGCACCTAGGTCACTCACATGGAGCACATACAGCAGTAAAAAAAATAAAATAAAATAAAATAAATTAAAGATAATTCATGACCTTTACTTGTGGTAAATAAAAAAATAAAGAACATATGTATATACGTCGAAATGACATATGTTGAGTCCTACTTAACCCAAGGATGCCTGTACAGTACTTTGACACATAACAATATGAATGCTTTCTGAATGAATCTCATCCTCACTGAGATCGTAGGATGAAGACTAGTAAAATGCATTCCGAACAATCCAGATGTCTATCATCTTGTCAATGGGTAAACAAAATGTGGGATATCATATAGGGATAGAAAGAAGGATGACTACTGACTACGAGGTGCTTTCCCGTTACTGTCTTTGCATTTTACAGAAAACAATGCTGAGGCAGGTATTACCATCCTTATATTACAGATGAAGAAACCAAGCCTCACAGGACCCAATTATTTTGTCCAGAGTCATACTGAAACTTTGAACCCAAGACCTAAATTCCCTGTTCTTAACATTAAACTCAGAGGGGGGGTAATGATTACTAAAGGCATGCATATGTAAAAAAGATTTATGATTTCCCCTGAAATTATTTCCTTTTTAGAGGCTGGAAAAAATCCAAAAAGTCCACTTAAATTGCTCCAAAGTGAAGAGCAAGCCAAGTGAGCCCAGCAAATACTCGGGGTTTTCCACCCCGGACAGCAGCGCGGCCAACACTCCTCAGGACTACAGCGGGAACATGAAGTCCTTCCCCTCCAGGAGCCCCTCCCAGGGCGACGCAGACTCCGCTCTGATCCTCACCCAGGACAACCTGAAAAGCTCAGACCCAGACCTGTCCGCCAACAGCGACCAGGAGTCCGGCGTGGAGGACCTAAGCTGCCGCTCTCCGAGCGGAGGCGAGCGTGCGCCCAGCGAGGACAGCGCCAAGGACCGGGACTCGGACGAGGCCGTGTTTCTAATGGCCTGACGCTTTGGAGTTCAGGAGTTCCGACACAAAGGACAGGCAAGAACCGCCTTCCAAAATAAGGGAACAGTGCAATTTAAGATAAAAAGTAACTCAAGAAATGGGTACGTGTAACCGATAGTTATAAAATAGAGCAATGAAGGGTTTGGGGGAAGTCCAACTCGTAGTTTCCTTAGCTGTTGAAGAACAGGAAGTAGACATTTTTTTGTGTGTGTCAAATAAATATTAAATATTATCCCATTTCAAAACATCATTCTAGTCTATGAATGTTTTTATTCACTACAGAACAATGAATGACCTCTAAGGTTATCTACATAAACCTTCCTGTTCACAGCATGCATCTGCTCAGCTCAAAAAGTGCTCTGACCCTTTGCCTGCACATCTGTAATCTTCATTTTTCCCACTTTATTTCCTGATGCATATTTTATTTTCATAAGACATTTGACGTATCATCCTTCCTGCCTGCCATAAATACTTCTAACAGAGGGCAGTGTTGAGCTGTAACCTTTTGATTAATAATAAATCTATTTTGTATAACTAAAGAGCTTTGTAATTGCTTCAGCTTAGCATTCAGGTTTCATGATCACGCTAACTTTTCCTTAGATAATATTTTTTGAATTGTTATAATTTTGTTGCCTTTTTTTTTTTTTAATATCTTATTTCTCCTTACCTTTTAAAAAATGCTAACACTTATAACTCATTTTTCCCTCTAACACAGGTCCTAATAAAGTAGAAGCAACATTTACTCTGTTAGTGAATATGAATTCAGATCATATTATTAATAGCTTTCTTAGCGACAAGTTCCGATTACTAGTCCAGAAACACTATTACCAAGACAGTGTGGATCAACCACCACTGAAGTGCAGCAGTGTAAAGTTAGTAGGTAATTCTTTTAAAATATATAGTTTTATTGATTTCAGAGAGGGAGAGGGAGTGAGAGAGAGAAACATCAGTGATGAGAGAGAATCATTGATCAGCTGCCTCCTGCATGCCCCACACTGGGGATCGAGCCTGCAACCCGGGCATGTGCCCTGACTGGGAATCGAACCATGACCTCCTGGTTCATAGACTGACACTCAACCCACCACTGATCCATGCCAGCCGGGCAATATTTCAATGAAGAAAAATCCCAATGAAGAACTAGAGAATTTGGTTATTCCTACTTAACACCAATGGTGTAAGTTCTGCCACTTCGGAAACTATGTGGTTAACTTGTTTTAAATTACATTGTTCCATCTCTGACTGCTGGATTAGTTGTGCAAAGCTTGTTTTTTACTAAAATGCACATTTGAAGCAGAATCATTCCCCTGACCATTGAAATGGGACTTTACTGGGAGACCTAAACTTCTGATCTGAATAAACATCTAATAAAAAAAAAAAAATCTTCTAAATTCCCACGTTACAGGAACTCTGCCTCTACACAAAATTGCCTTGTTGGACAGAGATAAAAATAGTATAGCTATTAAGTTACAAAAAGAGTCACTTAATTCCTGTTGCAGTAACAGAACCAAAATTCACAAAGGCATACTCAAATGCAGACTTTTTCCATCCTGGAAGACTTATATAACCTGTGTCTGTGTTTTAAATGCTGACAGAGATGGTTAAACTCCTCTTTTGAATAACTGGGTTGTAAGGAGATTACCCAATGCATTAATTTTGGAAGGAGAAACCAAGCTATGTTAACTGGTTTAGAATAAAACTGGAATAGTTTTAAGTTTAAAGAACAAACATATACGACCTAGCTGGTTTGGCTCAGTGGACAGAGTTGGCCTGTGGACCAAAGGGTTCTGGGTTCGATTCAGGTCAAGGGCATATATCTTGGTTGCAGGCTCCACCCTGGTCAGGGCGTGTGAAGGAGGCAACTAATCAATATTTCTGTCTTTCCTTCTCTCTTTAAAATATTAATGGAAAATATCCTCAGGTGAGGAATAACAGTAACAAAAGAGAACAAATATATTATGGTGAATTACTTATGTGGTTGAAGAGTCTATGTAAAATTTTTTTTGCTTTAGATAAGCACTTAAACCATGTCTTAACCTGTTGGCAAAAGACTGATACCACTATGCCTTTGTTTCAGTGACCGCAGGGAAAACTGAAGCTCTAGCTAGGGATTGGAACAATAGGGAAGGTTTCTGAATACCTCAAAGACTCCGCCATAATCTCGTTACCTCACTTACCTGTAAATCCACAGTTATACATTTCTCCTCTGCTCATTTTGAAGATCAATCGGCACACCCTTAGCACAGTGCACGAAAGATAGGCAATTAGTGAAAGGTGATTTCTTTATCCAAAGTCCATCTGTAAAGTCCACGTGAATACTAGCCATAACACAGACCAAATATTAAATATATTTCAAGTCTAAGTAATTTTGTTCTTAAAATCCTATTGCCAAACACATTTCCTGGGTGAACAGAAAAAATGAAGAAAAGACAAACTATACTGTATGCTGGTGTTTGAAATGATAAGCATACTGGGATGCATTTTAAACAAAGTATGCATCAGGTTGTTTTGTCATTTAGGTACTATTTACTAAGCCTCAGATATACAGTTGACGATTTTCTCATTAGCTTTTACAGCTATCCATTAAATGTGTTCATCCTATAATATGGAATAGAGGCAAACTGCTGAACATAGTACAAGGAAAATGAAAAATTCAATTAAAGTAACTATAAATTCAACCTCCTAAAATTATTCATTTCATTTATTATTATAGTTTTTCTCTTATGAATAGCTAACTCATAGTAAACGTCAGAAAATTACACTTTCTAATTAGATCCAGATTTACTATTTAACAAAAAATTGTTTTTAACTTTAACATTAGTAATTTAGACAGCCTATTCTTATCCAACCACATCGCATACTTCTATTAAAAAATTTGCATGAGCTGAAACCGGTTTGACTCGGTGGATAAAGCATCGGCCTGCGGACTGAAAGGTCCCAGGTTCGATTCTAGTCAAGGGCATGTACCTTGGTTGGGGGCACATCCCCAATAGGGGGTGTGCAGGAGGCAGCTGATCAATGTTTCTCTCTCATCGATGTTTCTAGCTCTGTCCCTCTCTCTTCCTCTCTGTGAAAAATCAATAAAACATATTAAAAAAACTTTGCATGAAAGTTTATGTTGGACCAATTTAAATGAAAGACAATTTTCTCCTGTTAGGTGAAATATTTACCTGTATTGCTTCTTAAATGCATCTTTAATTTTAATAATAAAACAACAATATATAAACAGCTGGTTTATTCTTTTGGTTTATTATACGTATTAAAAGTTACTTTCTTGAGATGGCACATTGGCAGGTTTAATGTTTACTGAAACCTGGAATATTTAAAAGAAATTATTTTTGAAAGTTTGATTATCCAGAAAAAAAAGAAGAAAAATAAGTCTTCCTACTGTTGAAAATAGTAATTTTTCATAAAAGGCTGAGAGGGGGAAAAATCGAAGCCAACCATTTTTATAAAGAAATGAGGCATTTCAAATTAAAAATACAAATTTAAAATGAACTAATTTTATAAAATATTGAAACTAGCCAAAATTACATGCATAAGTAATCAATAAGAGGAGCAGTGGAACTTAAATATGATAGGATTTATCAATAATAAATAAACATTTTTAGTGCAAATAGCGCAGAAAATTTTCTCCAAGTCAAGATCATAGCTATCATTCTGATGTGTACAAAATCAGTCTGAGTTCTGTATACAATCTATACAGTATATCTGTGAAGTCAGCTGCTGTGTTGAAGTGCCAATCTGCAAATCATAAATATAAATGTGCTTAGTTATGTGTCCCATTCCTCTTGCAGCAGTTCATGTATTCAGGAAAATCTAGAAAGAAAAGAAATTTTAAAAAAGCCTAAGAAATTTTCATCCCTTTACATTTTCCTCTCAGTAAGATCTACCTATAAAGATAACTTGACCACGAGGGAAAGAGGTGGGAAAGGATTCTAGCATGTTCATATAAGCAAGCAACTGCTCAGTGCCTGTCTCCCTCTCAAGCTGTGAGAAAGGCAGTAATACTCAACCCTTGCCTGGCCGGTATGGCTCAGTTGGTTGGGAGTTGTCTAGTGCTGCGGTTGCCAACAGGTGGTCTGTGAGGTCCAAGAGGTTGGCAACCACTGGTCTAGTGCACCAAAAGGCTGCTGGTTCAATTGCTGGTCAGGGCACATGCTGGGGTTGTGGGCTTGGTCCCTGGTCTGGAGCCTGCAGGAGGTAGCAGATCAATATTTTGTATCAATGTTGTTGTTTTTTTCTCTCTCTCTCTCCCTCCACCTGCCTCTCTCTAAAAATCAGCATGGTTCGTAAAATAAGACGTAAAACAATACAATGCTGGCCCTAATCTTAAGCACAACTACCTTGAGAGAAGGGACGGGTGTCCTGGAAATCAGAAATGCCCATGATTTCCCTCCCTGCAGTCTGTTCCCTCTTTTAGGGGCCCTCCTACACTCCCTTTCTCAAAAGCCCACTCCTTCAGCCCAGCTGAGTGGGCAGAGGACCACATGACAGACTGCGGAGGCCAGGATGGACACCACCCATCCCAGCCAATCTCTTTCCCAGGGTTTTGTAGTGAAACCCCTGTCAGTGTCCACTGGCTGCCTGAACTGCTGATGAAAGGGTGGAAGAAAGAGGAGCTGCTTTGGTTACTGTGGCCTTTAGTCATGTTTTCACTCTCTGGTGACTGAGTTGTAATTTCTTGTACTTAATTCTACAATGCATTCCAGCATTACCCAAGAACACAGCTTTTAATTGTTGGGGTAGGAATTAGTTCTTACAACCAAATCATTCCCTGCCAAGACAGATGGAGAGGAAAAGGAAGGGTGTGCTGAGATCAAGTGAGAGCATGAGCAAAGACATGGTATAGACAAAAGAACATGACACGAGATAACATAAGGGAAAAATGGAAAATTAAAATGGATAATCTCATATATGTGGCAGATTATAGAAGGCTTAAAACCAGAGAAAAATTTGGCACTAATACTGTCACTGCTAGGGCCCATTATAGGTTCTAGGGTAGAGAATTATATCAAGAAATGGTATTTTAGAAAGATTAGTCTGTCAATCCTATGCAGGAAGGAGAAACCCTGGCTAGGTGGTTGGCCAGAATGTTATTGGAAAAATCCTCGTGTGAGATGGAAAGGAGACAGGCTAGAAGTTCATTTGAAAGGAAGCAATGACAAAGGAAAGTAATGAGGATATGGTAAACCCCCACACCAGCTGAAAGAAAGGAACCAATCATAGCTTACAATGCATCAGTAGTTATCAGATGCCATTTAAGCAGACATCACAGTGAGAAAACAAAGATTTTTATTGGCTATATGCGTATGTACATAGTATATAGTATATAGTATATAGTATATAGTATGCTTACTATATAATGCAAAACATTCTATATGTTAAATAGCATAAGAGCTATAATGATGGTGATATGCTGACAGCTGGCTCAACAGGCAGTGGTAAGACAAAAGAGTCAGGCATTAGGCTTGAGACACAAGATCTGGAATGCAACTTACCTATGAAGCATGAAACTGGCTGTGCATCGCTATCACCTGCTGAAGTTTCTCTTCCTTGGCTCTTCTACAGTGGCAAACCTACAAGATAAATTATTTAAAATACCAGTCACGTCCCCAACCATGTGCCTACATTATGACAGAATTCTATGTAGGATTCTTTTAACCTGTTGACACTTACATTTTGATACTTAAGGCAGTTCAGAATTTAAGAATTAAAAATTAGCCAAAACTGGTTTGGCTCAGTGGTAGAGTGTCGGTCTGCGGACTGAAAGGTCCAGGGTTCAATTCCAGTCAAGGGCACATCCCCGGTGGGGGTTGTGCAAGAGGCAGCTGGTCGATGTTTCGCTCTCATCGACGTTTTTAGCTCTCTATCCCTCTCCCTTCCTCTTTGTAAAAAAATCAATAAAATATATTTTTTTAAAAATTAAAAATTAATTTTCTTTGGCAGATAACCTTTACCCATAAACTTCCAGAATGTAAAACAACTGATATTTTCTGTCAGTTCTGATTATATAATATCAATATCTGTTTGTTAAATATGAAAATCCTACTATTGTTAACCAGAAAGTTAACAAACACACACTTCCAGGTGCAGTTATATAGTACAACAAAGAACAAATGAAAAAAAAAAATCAATGCCTCACAAATGCTACAGCCATAGTTGTTAATGTCCCTGAATTTCAATTTTCTCTCATGAAAAATGTTCCTATGTAGCACATGTTTTACAAAGTTTAGTAACAAAAGGTTATTTTTAAAACGTGATGTTTCAGAGAAATTAGGTAAATATATAGGACTTTATCGAAGGGCAACATACTGCTAAGCAGACTTTGATTTTTCTTTAAATACTAGAGGCACAGTCTGCATGAAATCGTGCGCAAGTAGCTCGCTACTGCTTGCCTCAGCTGGCCGGCCTGCCCTCCGCCATGAGAGCTTCCTGCCCCTGCTAGCAGCTCTGTCCCCGCCCGCCCCGAGAGCCACGGAGGTGGCCTTATATGATAAAGATAATGGAAATACTAGTAATCATCAAACAAAAGTTATTCCAGAATGTTCTTAATAACATTTAAAAAATTAATCTATAGTGCATTCTCTTAGAATAACTGTGTAACAAATTACAGGAGAATATTACAACTATTAAGCACATACTTAAAGCTAATTTACTAGCTTTACTTCAGAAGGACACAATACTATCAGTTCTAAAAGAGACTATTACTTGATTTACCTGCTATCATTCTCAAAGAGGCACTTGCAGTTTTCTTTCATGGCACTCAAAACCCCAGCTCAGCAATGTGCTAACATTTTTTTACTCACGAATACTTTGATATTACACTGCCACTTATCCTAACTGAAAAGTATTACATACTGTTCTCTTTTCCATGAAGCTACTGAGAAAATCATCGATTTCAGTCTTTCCCTCCAAGAAATCTTCAGCAATATTATCAGATTCTTCCTCAGCTTCGTGTGCAGCGACTTTTAATCTGGCCTGCAGGGCACTCGCACTACAGCTCTGAAAAAGAAAATCAAGTACTATGTTAGTTCATACTGACCAGGAAAACTCCTTAGAAAGAAAACAAGGCAGGGGAAGGGAGAAGCAATCCGTTATATGTCTTACATAAGCACTTTTTAAGGAAATCTGCTACCACCCAGGTCCTCAGTTTGGATACCCAACACAAGAGAGACCAATCCATTGGCTGCAAACTCTTTAATAAAAGAAACTGGGCAAATCATTGTCCTCTCTCAAAGTGGCAGCAATCAATCATTGTGGTGGGCATCCTCTAAGATGATCGATCCCCAATGAACTCCAACTCCTGTCTTCCCTGCCCTTGTGTAATCCTTTTTCCTATGGATGTGGGCTGGACCTGGGGACTCACCAAAGAGGTGAAAGACTTGTATCCTGAAAATTACAAACCACTGCTGAAAAAATTTGAATATGACATAAAAAAGTAGAAAGACATGGATGGGAAGACTTGATTATACTGTCAAGAAGACAATGCTACCCAAAATGATCTAGTTTTAATGCAATTCTTATCAAAATTTCCATGGTGTTCCCAGCCCCCCCCCCGCCCCCCGAAATAGAAAACGTTCTGCTAAAATTCATGTAATTTCAAAAAAACCCTCAAATAGCTAAAAACAACCTTGAAAATGAACAAAGTTGGAGGATTCATACTTCTTGATTTTAAAACTTAACTATAAAGCTATAGTAATCAAAAGGGTGTTATACTGACAAGATACATATAGATCAATATGCAATAGCAAGCCCAGAAATACACCTTCACATATACGTCCAAGTATTTTCTAAAGGTGTGCCAAGACCATTCAATGGAGAAAGGATAGTCTTTAACTACAGATGCTGGGTAAATTGGAAATCCACATGCAGAATCAATGAACCCTTACTGTACTTCATGTAAAATTAACTCAAAATGGAACTAAATGAAGAAACTAAAGCTAGTTAGTAATACCTCAGAGGACTGGGGGAATAATGGGCAATACTGGTATATGTCAATAACTTAGTGCATTGTAAAACACATAATGATTGCTCAATGTTAGTTATTTTTTTCTAAAGAATGACCATTTTTGAAATCCATTATAAATTTATATTCTCCTTTCCCATCTTTTTGTTATTGTTGTTGTTTTATGTTTTATTACATTGGCTTTACTTTCCCAGAACTCCTGGTTTTAAAACACCAGAATACTGTTATGATGTTAGTTACTGACATGAGATATAAAGATTATGAACTCTATTTTCTTTTACTTTTAGAGATTTTTCTTAAAAGAAATGAGTTTATTTTTATAAAATGCTTTTCATTTTTCATATAACCAGATTTCTAGCATAAAATTTATTTGTGGTGAATACTTTATACTTTTATATATTTTTGTATTAGATCACTTTTCATTTAAGGTATCTATATAGAAGTTTAAAAGTGACACTATAGTTAAAGTTTATTGCAAGAGTTAAACTGGCTTTATAATAACTTTCCCAGAACAGTTATTTATGGATATTTTAATATTTTTCTGTTTTGGAGCCAAATATGCTCTTGCATGAGCACAAATGACTTATAATGACACATAATTGAAGGCTATTCATCAGTGAGTAAAGTCCTTTTAAAGTAAGACATCTAATAAATGCTTTCTGATAAAATGAAAGTAAGAATGTGGCTGACACACATTAAGATAAAAACTTACACACAAAAAAAGTGCTAAACAATCTTACCTCACTAAGTTCATGCTGTCTTTGCATCTTCTTTTCAAAAGTAGATTTCATTTGTGTAAGTAATTCATACTAGAAAAGAAAATAAAAATGCTGTTTTCTTGTACTTGTAAATTACATTAATTTCTTCACAATGGGCACTAACTCACCTTATCTAAAACAGTTTGCCTTTTGGCTTCCAAGCTGGGCTCCAAAAGCAGATTTTTTCCTGTAAGATAAAATTCTGGTTTATTTCTAGGTAAAGTCACATTTTTCTCAGGAAATGCAACAAGTAAAGGAAGACATACTTGCTAGTTCCTCAATACTTTTCACTAAGTTGTCCTTGTCAGTAATAATTTGTTTTAGTTGAGGCAAAGTAAGAAACTGTTCTAGTAATATCTCCTCTTGTTCATTCATATCTGTAAGTTGTGACACACTAGAAACAGAAAAAGACAATGTGTTAATGACTATCAATAATCTAGTTTTTCTCCATTATGATGAATATTCACGACTTTTCACTGCTATCTAACTGGCAGGGTTCTAAATAATTTTGAATGCATACACATAGCAAATTGTAACCTTCAAAACAAATAAAAAACCAACCACATGGACAAGAAAGTAGTCTAAATGTAGTGTCAAATCACTGTAGGACTATATAAAGAGTAGGCTGTGTGAACAGTCATAACAACCTTCCAATTTTAGCCTCACTGCCTTATTTAGCTAACTGATATGTGGCTATCACAATAAAAAACACATATATATATGTGTGAGTAGGATTAGGTTTAGCCAAAATAAAAACTCAATATCCACAGGGTAAAAAAGGCAACTGGATGGGATGGCACCTAAACCTTTCCCAATGTATCTAGTACTTTTGACCAGTGATCCATATAAAAGCGATGCATGATTAAAAATCTAAATTAAATATTAAAGAAAAACATCTCTTAAAAATTCAAAGCAAACTCTTTTTCTAAGTTACATAATCATCCAGAAAAATATTATTTGAAGAGAAAAAATAGTATTTAGCTGTAGTCTCTGCTATGGTATATCCTGAAGAAAAAAAAATATAACACACCTCACAAAAATCTTATCCTACATTCAGCATTCATATTAATAATACTGGTATTATTTTAACATTCAGTCAATATTTATTAAACATATAAATGAAATAATTTTCACATAAACATAAATCACATAAGAGAAAGGACATTATTGCCCTGGTAACTATCATTCCCAGCGTACAGAAAAATCCCTGGAATATAGTCATTCAATAAACACAACCTCCAAAACATAAAAACTGAATTATAAAATTTTCCAATTAAGACAACCACAATTTAGAAACAATGAGGGTTTCAATACTTTTATTTAATATGGATATGACACTGATGATCTGCTTTGTATTTACTAATAAAACAGACAACAAACACCAGTGTTATTCTCCAAGTCTTTTTACCTTAGTTCGGAGAGTTCTGGAAATTCATCAGGGACATCTGGCATCCTGTAACCAAGACCATTCTGGCTTATCTAAAGAGAGTTTGAAATGGTATTATATTTCAGCCATCTTTTCAACTGTTCTCAATATCACATCTTCGTCTTTGCACTTTCCACTGTCCGTACTCTCTCCACTTCCTTTTCTGTATTCTTTTCAGTTACTGGTTTTGTTTGTTTTTTTGTGGGGGAGAGGGGTGGTCAGGTGAGTACCTTCTTAGCTCTCTTTCATGTGCAAAATACAGGCTGTAAAATAAATCTCTTAAGTATATCTGTGACAATATGGAGAATTATATGTGAATTTCATTGAAATGTATGAATAAAGCTACCTCAAATGAAAGGAATTAAGTATAGGAGGACATTAATAAGCTGAGGAAAGTCTGAATAGTTACATAACTAAGTTCGGTGAGACAGTAGGGCAGACAAAGAACAGAGTATGCATCATTTGAATATCGATGACTTTAAAGTTGAAGACTCACGAAAAGTTGTAACTTTGTTTTACCACTAATTGTGATTTGTTCATAATATTCATTAATACAATGATGTAATATTTTGGAAAACAGGAACAGGTTTGGCTTAGTGGACAGAGCGTCGGCCTGTGGACTGAAAGGTCCTGGGTTCCATTCCGGTCAAGGGCATGTACCTTGGTTGCAGGCACATCCTCAGTAGGGGGTGTGCAAGAGGCAGCTGATCAATGATTCTCTCTCATTGATGTTTCTATGATGTTTCTCTCTCTTCCTCTCTGTAAAAAATCAATAAAGTGTATATTTAAAAAAAAAAAAAAAGGGTTTGGAAAACAAAGTCCACTTGGGTCTATATTCTAAATTATTACAAACACTACAACTAGTAAAGCTGGATATAATGTTTTATAACATTTGAGTATTACTATAGGAGATATTCACTAAGGGTTAAAAACGAAGGTTTTAAATCCCTTGGTATGCTTTATAAACAAATATTAGTCTCTTATCTCAGCAAACTCCCACATGGCAACAGTTACTAGCTTACTTAAGGAACAGAATTTTTAAACCAGTTGGACACCTGAAGCCCTTAGTAAGCTATGGCAGACCCCCCACAATCTGTTCTTCCTCCATGATCATCTCTGTGCCTTTGCCCAAGTCCTATAGGACAGCCAGGGAGATCTTTTACAGGCAGCTTCACAACTACACATCTGGTAAATGCCTCCATGCCTCTTCAGAGAAAGCTTTATATAACCACTTGTCACCCAGGCACATTCATTACCGTGTATCAAATCTGGCCTCGGGCATAAATTCATTTGCTTATTCATCTGCCTCATTTTAACGGAGCACCTGATATCTGTATTGGGGCTTAAGGCACTTAAGAATAAAGTTATGAAAATATAGATTCACATTTTCCTTCTAAGTTCTATCTTGATCCCTACCAGCACTAACCATTCCCTCAACTGTGTCTTCAACATAACTTCAGACCATGTCTTCTACTCTACTGGAAGTTCCTTATTGACAATTGTTTGATTATATGTTGGTGACCTCTATTAATTTGTTAACTAAGTTGAAAATGTAATTTAATCTTTTTTCTTCTGCGCCTTAGTGACTGGCACAAAGAGACATAATTAATTAATTAATTTTTAAAAAATCTTTTAAAAAATATATATTTTATTGATTTTTTTATAGAGAGGAAGGGAGAGAGATAGAGAGCTAGAAACATCGATGAGAGAGAAACATCGACCAGCTGCCTCTTGCACACCTCCTACTGGGGATGTGCCCGCAACCAATGTACATGCCCTTGAACGGAATCGAACCCGGGACCTTTCAGTCCGCAGACCGACGCTCTACCACTAAGCCAAACCAGTTTTGGCATAATTAGTTTATTTAAAGTTCATTAATGTTACAAGGGTTCAAAATATCAGTATTTGAAGATACCAACCTGCACTGAAGTGTCTGCTGTGGGAACAGGTAATGGCAGGTTGGAAAGGATGCCAAAGGAAGGAGCAGCAGGTTTGGCTGTTGTGTAACTTGTCGTTGATGAAGAAACAGTGTCAGCCACAGATAAACTGACAGTCCTGCTAGCTTCTTGTGGGGGAAATGAAGGAAGAAAGGGAAAGCCCTGAGAAGCATAGGAAGGCATCCCACCTGGGTTACTGTACAGGCTAAAGAGAAAGAAAAACACATGATTAGAAGTTAGAACACATGACTGTAAAATTATCCCTCAATTTTCAAGTAACAACTGTCATATGTTATAAATGGAGTCCATTTATGGCAGATGACACTTGTTATGTAACTGAATTAAATAGTATATAATTTGATAAAATATAAACACCCAAAATTTTGGTTTAAAAGCCATTCAAGTTCAAATTCTCAACAGAAGCGAAGAGACAGGGCATATTTGAATTTTAAGCATTCCACAGTCAACATCTTCATAGAGAGAATCTTATATAATAGAAGGGTAATATGCAAATTGTCCCTATCGACCAGGAACAACTGGTCACTATGACACACACTGACCACCAGGAAGTCAGACGCTCAACACAGGAGCTGCCCCTGGTGGTCAGTGCGCTTCCACAGGGGGAGTGCCGCTCAGCCAGAAGTCGGCTCATGGCTAGCCAGGGCAGTGATGATGGAAGGAGCCTCTCCCACCTCCACGGTAGATGTCTGACTAACGGCTTAGACCTGTTCCCCACCAAACATCCCCGAGGGCTTCTGGGTTGCCAGTGGAGTATCTGGCTGCCAGCTTAGGCCATACCCATGGGGAGCAGGCCTAAACCGTCAGTTGGACATCCTGAGGGGTCCCAGACTGTGAGAGGGCGCAGACTGGGCTGTAAGACCCCACCCCCATCCCTACCCCCACCAAGTACACGAATTTTCTTGCACCAGGCCTTTTAATTCAAAAAATTTATTCAAGTGAGGTTGCTTAGTAACTTTCACTGTATTAGAACAAATATGGTTTAAAGTCAAGACTGATTTTCTAGGGGGGTGAGGGAATGTTCTAGGGGGTGGGAGTGGCCAGGGAAAGGACAATTGGGTTGGGAAAAGAAGACACATGTAATACTTTAAACAATACAGAATTTAAAAAAAAAAAAAAAAAAGACGGATTTTCTAGAAAATTGTAAAGAAAAATTAAATGTATAGATGAGTTGCTAAAAATGTTAATATATAAGAGAGGATGAGATAAATCTTGCCATAAGTCACACCCTTGGCAAGGTGACCCATAATTGGGAAGAAACTCAAAACCCCAAGTTTCTCTGCAAGGAGCAAAGAGTTTGAGCTCTGCAACTTTAAAAACCAGCCCCATTGCAGATGAGCCCTCTAGGCATCTAGCTTTGAAAACCAATGGGACTGGCATCCACCAGCTCCCCAAAGCTAAGCAAACTGAGAAACAGTTCTTGAAGGTCTTACATCTGGTGCACTGGCTTTTTTGTCTGCTGTTCAGGAAATGCCATTGATCACCTGGCTCAGAGGCCAGGGAGCTGGAGTTCCTGGGTGCAACAGGATTGTAATAGTTACAGAGACTACCCGTGGGGCACTGCACAGACAGCAGAAACACCCCCTCACCCAGCCTTTCTATGAAAGTGGCCTATTTGTATGGTAGCAATCATACTTGGGTAAAAACTGCTGTTTGAATTTTAACCTTGCTATCTGACTTTCGATTACTTGCTTAAACAATAGGGTAGTTACAGGAGATTGATTCCCACTAACTCAGTAGCTTTAGGTGTAGAAACTGTAGAAAACCTTTTGAGATAACCTTTAGAGATTAACCTCTGAGTTCTGCTTCTATTTTATCGGCAAGATAGGGCTACATTCCAATGTTCCCAGCCTTTAGAATTTAGGACAAAGGAAAATTCCTGTAGTTTGAACCTTTAAAAAGGATTGCCTACCCCTGGAATGGTGTGGTCGTGTGGACTCCACCTGTGTGTGGTGCTCTCGCGGACGTCCTGGCCAGTTTTTTCGATAAATCCTTGCCTGCTTTTTTAATCAATCATCAGCCTCCCACAGCTCTGCTTGTGCAGGAGCTTCAGCATGAGGGGCAGGTTTCAGGATTGGCTAACAAAGGTGCTGGAACATAGGTGGTAACGCCATCTTGCATTTGCCCTTTGCCTCTCCTCAGCTTGCTGTTATCTCCCAGAAAGGAGATTATGCTCCTACCTAAGCCAGACTTTTGAGACTGTCTTTAACAGGACACTTCTAAACTGTCTGGATGTTGTGGCCAGTGGGACTTAAGCTTGTGTCCCACACAGGACAATACGTATTTGCATACTTTAAAAGCTGCTGCCACCCAGAGCCTGGGAAGCAGGCAGGAACTGGCACACTTTGAACTACTGATAGCTCTTAAAGATATAACAGACTACTTGAATAATCACAAAGGTTTGAGAGGCATTCAAAAGACAGGGCAAGGTTCATCTCCTAGTCCAATCCTCAAGACTGGGGGAGGTGACTGTTTTATCTCCTGATGGAAACCAACACAGAGTCAAGCAAGATAAAGAAACAAAGTATATGTTCCAAACAAAAGAGCAAGATAAAACCTCAATAATGGAGATAAATAATATACCTGATAAATAGTTCAAAGTAATGGTTAAGAAGTTGCTCAGAAGAATGGTGGAACACAGGGAGAACTTTAGCAAAGAACTAGGAAATATAAGAAAGTACTGAACAGAAGTCATAGAGCTGAAGAATATGATAACTGAAGTGGAAAGTAAACTGGAGGGGTCCAACAACAGGCTGGCTGAAGCAGAAGAAATGATCAGAACTCAAAAGATTGAACAGCTGAACTAAGCCAGTGGTTGGCAAACTCATTAGTCAACAGAGCCAAATATCAACAGTACATCAATTGACATTTCTTTGCGAGCCAAATTTTTTAAACTTAAATTTCTTCTAATGCCACTTCATCAAAATAGGCTCGCTCAGGATGTGGCATTTTATGGAAGAGCCACACGCAAGGGGCCAAAGAGCCATATGTGGCTTGCGAGCTGCAGTTTGCCAACCATGGAACTAAGTCAATATGAGAAGAAAAAAAAAAAAGCTGTGAATGAAAATGGGGCTCTGGAATAAATTTAACAAGTTCAATGACTAAAAGTAATCTCAAGAGTAACCTGATCATAAATTTCTAACTGGGCAAGAAGTAGTAAGTGTTGGTGGAGAAATGGGAATCCTGTGCAGCAACTTTGTATTACCAAAGTATGGAGGTTCCTAAAAAAAAAATTTAAAAATAGAACTACTAAATTTCTAATTCATAAGAAAAAATTACAAATTCCATGATATGAAAAAAAAACACACAAAAACAAACAAACCTCTACAGAACAAAGCCCATTATAAGAAAAGACAAATAACACATCGGGGGAAATTTTTAAACTCATCATAGACAGGGATAATTGACCTATTATTATCATATATAAAGAGTTCCTACAACTGAAATAGCAGAATGGAGAATAGGACAGTTGGCGGAGGGGGGGAGAGGGGAGAGGGGTATTGTGTGTTGGAGTGATGGTCAAAACAATATGATCAACATGACAATATTTGTACTATTCTTGAATAAATCTTAATAATTCTGAACCACTTTGCTTTATTTTGACCCCTATGATATATACAACCTATAAAATAATCTAGGAGATGCATCAAACTTGCATTTTAATAATGTGCACTTTAGCATATGGCGGGGGGGGGGGGGGGAGGTTAGAGGGTGTCAATGAGGGATAAAGGGGACAATTGTATTGTAATACTTTCAACAATAAAGAATTAAAAAGAATTAAAATAGAGTATACCAGCTCATATAAAAAAATAATAATGTGCACTTTATCACAGAACTTACATAAAAGGAGAACAAGTAAACTTATTGGCTTCTATTTTCATATAAGGTGAATGATAAGTTAACATTTAGCCCTATCCTAACAGAAGACAGGAAATACTGTTTTTAGATAAAGACTATCAGTGAGGCTCATGACTCCAGAACATAGACCAGAGGCAAAGATGAGAGCTGGGGCCGACGTGCATAATGAACCTGATAATCTAGCTATGCAGATGTCCAGGCACAAGATGTCACTGCCACTTGGCTTGTGAACAAAATAATGTTCTTTAAAATTAAACAGAAGGACTGGGCAATAAATACAATAACTATTCTGAAAAGCAAAAAAAGCAACAAGAAGTTGCACTATCATGCAGTTTCAGAATATCAAAGATATAAAAAATGTTATAAAAATCAGAAATCAAAATGGCAGTGGAACAGAAACCGGTTTGGCTCAATGGATAGAGCGTCGGTTTGGGGACTGAAAGGTCCCAGGTTCGATTCCAGTCAAGGGCATGTATCTTGGTTGCAGGCATATCCCCAGTAGGGGGTGTGCAAGAGGCAGCTGATCGATGACTCTCTCTCATCGATGTCTCTAACTCTCTATCTCTCTCCCTTCCTCTCTGTACAAAATCAATAAAAATATATTTTTAAAAAAATGGCAGTGGACATCTTAGCACCAATAGCCTATATTTAGACAACAGAAAAATGTTTTCAAAGTGGAAATCACTTTAACTTAGAATTTGAACTGCATCAATTATTACGTGTAAGTGTATATTAAAGACATTTGCAGATTTTAAAAAACGTCTCAAGATTTATCCTCCAAGCATCCGCGCTGTAATTTACAAAAATGTTCACAGCATTACTTTGGTCCTATGTGGCCTTGCACAACCAGGCCACTCCACTCTCAAGAAAAGGCGATTTTTCTCCCCTTGCATCTTGTCAAGTTTTTGCAATTACCTCAACAAATCAAATGGAGCAGAAGTGAAGGACTTCAGCAACTAAGTCATTTCGGCTTTCTCACAGCCCTCTCTCTCAGGAGGTTCATGCTAGAACACCAGACATTGTGTTGTGAGGGAGCCCAGCACACATAAAGGTAACATTCAGGTATACCAGCTGACACCCCAGGTAAGGCCTCTGAGGAGAGCCTCCTTACAATGAACAGAGCAGGGAAGAGCTCACTCCGATGTTTCTGAGTTGAATACTATAAATGTGCTCATTGTCTTAAACCATAATTTTGTGGCTAATATGCTATGAAGTCTAATAACCAGAAAATATTTAGCGCCTGGAAGTGGAAGCTGCTATGACCAAAACATGAGAGTGGCTTTGTGAAAACGAGATATGCCCTCAGGAGAGTGTCAAAGGCTGCAGGGCCTCAAGAAGACTGCGAGTGGGAATACTAAAAAGATCTAAGAAACAAAGCGAATGAAAAATTGGAAGTAATTAACTCCAGAAAAAAAGTAAGAAAGTTATAACAGAAAAATGTACTTAGGCGACAGGAAATGTGTAGTCAAAGTAATGAAAACACCAAAAATTTATTTAAATAAAATTTATGGGAGAATGAGAGAAGATTTGTGAGAGATAACTAAAATCCTCATTAATCGTAATGGGAACTTAATAGGTAATATATAAAACGATGGGATAAAATATAGCAGTATATACGTATTACTGACTAAGATGAAGGTAGCCCTGGCTGGGCAGCTCAGTGGGTTAGAGCAGTATACCAAGGTTGCAGGTTCTATCTCCAGACAAGGCACATACAAGAAACAACCAATGAATGCATACGCACATGAACAACAAATCGATGTTTCTCTATCTTTACACCCCCTTTCCCTCCCTCCTTCCTCTCTCTCAAATCAATCAAATTTTTTTAAAAAGATGAAAGTAAATATTAGAGAAGCAGCTAAAAGGAGAAAACAGTTGTCTCTGAACAGTATGAATCTATTTTTGTGAAGATGGGGATGTAAAAATAAAGGAGTTTTTTTTTTTTTTTTTTTAGCATCATCTGAATTTTTTAAGCTATATTTTGATTACTTTGATTAAAACAAATATATACAAACATTTGTTATAAATATACTTACTATGGAAATGCTGCTGAAGTAGGAGCTAAAACTGGAGGATTCTTCCAAAACTCATCCAATAGACTCTGAATAATTTTTCCAAGATCTGAGTGCATTGTAAACTGAAAATAACAATAATACAGAATGATTAAAATCACTTTCAGAAAAAGAACATAAGTTTTCATTAGGATAACTTCACTCTAAAACTTAAATATTAAAACCTATTTTTACAATACAAGAATTAAATGGTAAGCAAAGGACATTGTGTCAAATAAAGATATCAGCAATCCACAATTTACAATATTTTCTAATAGAATCAATACTATAAATCAAACAAAGATCTATTTAATCAATGATGCACCTAAAATATTTCCATATTTCACTATTTATAAAGATTAGACGGGTCAAAGGTAAATACTGAGAGTACATTATTCACGTTAATCAATGTTATACATAGCTTGAGAACTTTAAGGCATATCTGAATTTCATTTCTACTAAAAACTATGGAATAATTACTGTGAACCTCAGCAGGTCCTTGCCACTGAAAAACAGCCTTTGAATCGGTACTATCTTAGACAGTGGAAAAGATTTTTGAAAGTTACTGATTTCAAAATGAGATTTTAAGTGCATTTTAGATTTCGAAAGTGTTTAGTAAAAAAGTAATACACCTGTTTTATTACTCTGAAATAAATATACCATAAACATACATTGTTTACTAATGGAGAGGTAACATATATTCCTTGTTTATCCATTAAATGATGTCGTATTGGTGGATAAACACTGATCACTGGTTTTTCCTGAGGAAATTGTGGAGGAAGCAATCTGGTAAAGGTAGAACAGATGAAAAACAAAGACAACAAATGTTACATTACATAGTAATAATCCTAAAACAAAGTTAGTTTAAAACAAATTACATTTTCATACTTTCATGTGGATCTATTAGTTAGTAATAAATTCTCTTTTATGGTTGTTGAGATGATTGAAAATATACAAAAAGATACAATTTGAAAATAAAATTAAGTAATTCCATACAGCAAGCACGTCCAACTTGGCTACATGAGGCCCACAATGAATATTTTTGTGGCCCAGCCAATGTAACAGTACGTAAGAAACATTTTAATAGAAATTTCATAACTTAATTTCTACAATATCTTGTTATATATAATTATTAATAACGAACTACAACGTTCGCTAATGACTGATTTTTTTAACCTGTTACAAATTTAAGATTAGGGAATGAAATCTTTAAAAATGGGATTTTACTGAATATGAGATTGTTTTCCAAATTTCCTCTAAAACTCAAAAGAATGTGTTCTTTCAAATTGCTTCTCCATTCCCCTGGTGGCTCAGAAAACTCTTTGTTGGCAGCAATGTCAGAAAGAAAACTAGGTCTTTGTTGGCTTCTTCTACTTGGTTGTACATAGGACACTTGGAGAGAAGTAAAACTACTCAATTTATATAGTTGAAGATGTTAAACTAGTTTGGTAAAAAGGCAAGTGGCCTTTGGAGCCTGACTAATCTGGGTTTGTATCCTGACTATGCTCTAATTTGCCCCAATTTGCTTCTGTGAGGACTCAAAAGACCACTGTACATCAAGATAATACAGCATAATGCTTGAATTCACTCCTTCAGCTAGGATACAGTGACGCCTCCTCTGTGCAGGCACTACACTGGGCAATGAGGATATGGAGATGAATAAGCCCTGGTTCCTGTCTCCTTAACCCACCCACACACTGCCTCCAGAAAAGCCAGCCACCTAATGCAATCTGAGGTAAGAACGTCATTTGTCCAACTTTCCTCTTTATAAGACAATAACCTCATGTTTATATTATTAACTTTTTTTCCTTAAAAAATAAACAGATCAAATCAGCCTTGAACTTTCAACTTCTTTAGGATATAAAGGTGAATTTATCTGTAATGGTTTTCCATACATGATCTCTCTGATTGCTTGTTATCATCATTCTCCTCTTTCAACCTACCTCCAGCTAAGACTTTAGTGCAAATCAATGAAACTGAATACAGTATTCATGATTTTTGTGTCTTTTTATTGCATTTCCTCTTTTATAATTTTCTTACGGCAATGTACTTTAAGTAATTTCTTTACAAAATATTTATTCACAAAATTGTGCAACTTTGATAAATTATAGTTACTGGAAAGGGAATATTTAAAATAAGTTCACTTTAAACAATTTACTTCTAATAATAAATAGTCATATTACAGAGAAAAATAGGATACAATTTCTACTCACATATTAATGTTAATTGTCAGGTTGTTTACGCTGAATGGCAACCTGTATTCCACATCTTTCTGTATTTCAGCTATACTGTAGGAGAAAATTTGAGAAAAAAATTGTACCTAAAGTTATAAAAACCATTAATATTAAAGACAAATGTTAAATGTTTTTAGAGCCTACTAAAATTATTTTTAGTTTTAATCACAGAATCTAGATGGCCACTATAACTTGTAGCTTAAAGGGAAAGTGATCATAGAAAAGGCTTATCAAAAAAGAGACAATAATATTCTGAAATATTCAAGTCTGTGAGAGTATGTGTGTATGGGGGTAGACGTTGAGGTAAAGAGGAAAGAATAACTTATAATAATGCTAGATTGATTTACTATCACTTTATCTGTTAGTAAAAGCGATTGTGAGCATTCTTGTTAATACGATCGGCACGACATTTATCTGGGTTCTAACTACAACTGTGCCACTAACCAGCTGTATTTAAACCTAACTGCTGGCTGTTTTCCAAAAAAAACAAAAACAAATACTCCCCCCTCTTCCTAAGAGAAGCCTAATTTTATTCTGAAATAGCAATGTTCTAGTCTTTCTTACAGCTGGTTGTTGCTATAGACAAGTGCTAGCAATAAGATACAGAAAAATTGAAACTGGGGGGGGGGGGGGGGGGGAGTAGAGTTTCCAGGAAAGCATTTTATAGGGAATAAAAAACCTGGCATGAGTGTTTGTGCCCTTTCTGCCTGGACCCAAGAGCTGGACTTCATCAGAATTGGACCATGAGTGGCGTAGAATGGAAGGTTAGGCAGAGTTAAGCAAGAAGAAAGACGTATAATAGTACGGGTTCTTACTGACTACAGAAATGCTGCACAATTTCTTTTTATGTGAGAGAAAAAACAAACTTTTCTTTTGTGTCACTATTTTGGGAGTCTTTATTCCTAGCAGCTGAACATAATTTCCAACTATTCTAGGTCCCTTATATTTTAACATTTTACATTCAGAATTCTTTTTTATTATTAGTTTGCAGGCATACATTATTACAATTTTAATTTACCAACCAAATTTTGGGGGGCTCATGTGGAATTCTAACATTCATATTTCCAAAGAGAAAAAAATATTAAGTTGTATTAATAAGTCATGGTTGAGAGAAAATTTAATATTTAAATATACTAACTTCTTAAAGCATGAATACCTTTGAAAGAGGTTTAGCCTTTGCATAATTTTGTTTTGGTTACTTTAATAGCTTTAGAAAACCTTGTATTTTCCTCATTTTTTTGGTACTACATTTTTTTTTATCTTTTGACTTAAAAATTTTATGAATGTTTCTCTTTGGGGAACAGGTTTGAACTAGGATACTGACAGCCTCCTCAGTTGTATGAACACCATGTAATCAATAAAGTTTTATTATTTTTTTTATTTCTCTACATTATCTTGGGACCCATGTCATTGATTCAAGGGAATACTGGTCACAAAGGCATCCACCAGGTCAAAGCCAAGGAGAGCAGCTTATTGACTGAGAGCATGACCTCTTCAGTTAGGCTTCTTGGACACAAATCCTCTGCCATTAACTTGTGTGGTCTTGGGCAAGTCACTTACCCTGCCTAAGCCTTATCTCTCCAATGGGAAATGGGAATATTACAAGCATCTATCTACCTAAAAGAGTTGTTAGCTTAAGTGAAGTAATGCATGGAAAGCCCTCCACATAATACATAAAAATTAGCTATTATTAAATAGGCATTTAGAATTTGCATCCAAGTTGAAATCCGCCTAAATTTGTAGTATTAACATTTTAACTGTTTTTAGGCATTGTATTTGGTCAGAATGTCCAAGTCACTGTCACCACGATTAATGACAGCATAATATTCTAGTATATTGTTTAACCTATTCTCTTTTTTTTAGATATTTAAATTGTTTTCAGTTTTCACTACTGTGAACCATGCTCTGATAAACGTTCTTAAAACCACAACTTTATGCTGACAGGCAGTACCACTCAGATGTAAACAAACATGATATTTGAAAGCAATGCTGTAATCACACCACAAGAGAAAATTTAAACGATGCCCCATTAATAATTTTATTTTCTAGATTTTCCGAGACAAGTAGTGTGGTTTTACGTCAGTGGCTCTGAATCTGGGACTAAAGAAAACTGAAACAACAGATAACTGTTAGATGTCTGACTAACTGGAATCTTCATTTTTTTAATAGTCCCGAAAGCTATAAACAAATGTATCCTGAAATGCAAGAGGCACTCACTAATTATGGTTAAAAGATTCCTTTGTAGAACATTCATTTACCTCCTACTTTATATTTTCTGTAAACTTGGATTTAATAGGCAAAACTTGGTTCAACTGCAACAGCTACCATTTTTGCAGCATCGTGGAAGGAAATACAAATAGAGACGAATATAGCTGGGGTGGGCTCACAGGACATGGGACACACAGGACATGGAAAGATAGATAGTCCAGTAACTGAAGAGATCAAGGTACTGATACCATTCATTTCCCAAAGGGTGACTCAAGGACTGTTTATAGGTGAATAAATGAAGGATTCACATGTAAATAAAGATACAGGAGAGTAGACAACTTCCCCCATCTTATCTAAATCTCTAGGAAATATCAAAACAGACTTTAAAAGCAAATCTATGGCGTTGCTACAAGGCAAGTAGTGCCAGAAGCAGAAAAGCAGTTTGGGAGAGTCCCTGAAAGATTAAAAAAAGTGGGATTAAATTTAAGGAAAAAGGAAAAGATAGTAAATACGGAACCTAATGACAATCCAAAACATAAAATCAATGCAAAGTGGAGCAGTGTGCGGGTCCTCCTAGCTCAAGTTGATGCAAACCAGGCGTGTGGCGGGCAGAGCAGGAGCACCTTTCAGGGTAATGAAAGGGAGGAGTGTGACAGCACTGAGTGCAAAGCTCTCTCCCCAGGATAGGTCAGCGTTCAGCGCAGTGAGAGAGCCTGAGAGGCAGTGCCTCAGGAGCCTCCGTTTGACAACTCAGCTGGTCCCACATTGGAGGAAGTCCTTTTCACTCATCACCAGAGGCAGCTATGGTAAACAGTAAGCATCCTCAAACAAGTCAACAAGGAACCCCAAATACAGAAACAGACACATCTGAAAGGTTTCAACAAAACCAGACCATGGAAGGCACGCACCAAACTCAGCAAGCCCAAAACACAGAAACTTAAAGGAAACAGAAGTAATTCAGCAAAGACTACAAATTAAAACAAAATAAAATAGCCGAAATCGGTTTGGCTCAATGGATAGAGCATCGGCTTGGGGACTGAAAGGTCCCGGGTTCTATTCCAGTCAAGGGCATGTACCTTTGTTGCGGGCATATCCCCAGTAGGGGGTGTGCAAGAGGCAGCTGATCGATGACTCATCAATGTTTCTAACTATCTCTCTCCCTTCCTCTCTGTACAAAATCAATAAAATATATTTTAAAACAAAATAAAATAGCACTTGCTTATACTTACACACGCACGCGCACACACAAACGATATAAAATTGATCCTTCTCCTGGAGGATACTAATGCACTGAGGCCTATTAAAGGCTTTGAGAAATTCTAAAGTGCTTGATTTTGTTTTCTAATATATTTAACACGGACTTATTTCACAATACCTTTTGAACAGTGCTCTGTAGAACACACAAGCTACTAATGGCAGATGTGCAAAAAGCGATAGGGACACAGAGAAAAACATCTAATCAAATGGGGGTGTGGGAGGGAGTTTGTGGTGAGACGGCATAGGGACTTGGCCACAGATATGAAAAATAATTGGCTGGCTGCAATCCCCTCCACTTCCTAGTCAAAAGTACAGAAGTAACTAATTTTATGTCCCTTTCTCAACTGCCAGCTTCAACTATAACCCCAAGGAGTGACCACGAAACAACCGCCTTAGGGTGGCATCATGAGCAATTAGCCACTTGCCCCCACAGCCCAGGAGCCAACAGTTACTAAGCAAAGCAGCTGGGAAAGGAAGAATCTACAATGGAAAATTCTTCAAGCCTGCCTTTAAAAAACAAAACAAAACAAAAAAACAAACCACCTTTCGTGCAAGCTCATGTCCCTGCTTATGAAAGCAGCCAAGCAGGGCCAGCTGCCCCTGAGCCAGTTCAGAGGACCTGCCTTTCCTCGGTGCTGCTTCTCTTGTGCTTGGCATAAGCTTAGTAAAATCGAGGAATTTCTCTGGGTTTCCTCTCAGTTACCATCTCGGGGAACTTAAGAAGCGCAACATTGGTGGCAGCGAGTCTTCAAGGAAAACAAATCACATCTGAACTACACATAGAAGTTAATTAGGGCTAACGCTCAGGAAAGGGAAAGCAGGGGACTGAAGTGGGCATTCCAGGCAGAGGAAATACCTAAGGAAAGCTTCAGAAAGGAGCACCGGTCTCTACTAGGCTCCATACCTTTAGCCACTAAAAAACTTTACAGCCCCTTTGTTGACACCTTTCCCTCAGTTACATAACCAGTTTCTATGAAAAGCAGACATCAAGCTAAGGAGGCTGTACTTTGGGGTCTACTCATTAGGTGTACCGGTTAATAATTCGGATTTTTTTTTAATGGATGGAGTTACATATATGTTGATATATATGCAATTTAATATGTATGCTAAATTGTTAACAAGCTTCAAAACTTCCTAAGTTAAATTTGCTGAAGGTGTTAACATCATAGATATTTTTACACTTAAAAAATGTTGAATTTCGTGCCAAAAAAAAAAAAAAAAAAAGAGCATTTGCGGGAAGTTATAATTCATTATTTATTTTAAAGTGCAACTGAATACTTCGGGAAGATTATGGGGAACATGCTCCATCTCACTATACTCGTGAACGCTGCTTTAAACGCTTCAAAAGTGATGATTTCGATGTGAAAGACAAAGAACGTCCAGGTCAACCGAAAAAGTTTGGAGACCAACAGTTACAAGCATTATTGGATGAAGATGCGTGTCAAACTTAAAAACAACTTGCAGAAAGATTATTCACTGCTCAGCAAACAATTTCTGATTGCTTACTAGTACAAGCAATGGGAAAGATTTTAAAGGAAGGGAAATTGGTGCCACATCAACTGAATGAAAGACAAATGGAAAACCGGAAA